CTCTCTACCTTCACACCATCTACAAGCTTAAGGCAGCATACAGGAACTAGGGTTTTATTTAAGATATAATTATAGTTTTTGGACCCATGCAATCATTAGAATCACTTTCTATTCCTTCTCTGAGTCTACCCGGTAGCTACCTGAGCAGAAGGCCCTGAGTTGGTCTCCGTAGTTTAGTTTGCTCGCATTACAAATGAATAATGTAGTAAAATACGAATGTCAATAGTCTCCACAATTTATAATTACTTTTCCGTAAATATCGTCTGATATTCTCAGTATTCCTTAAATATGAAAGTCGTCACCCTGGATCATTTAGGGTGATGCAACGAAGGATAGTGAAACCCAATCGCGTCACGCAGCCTACCCACAGTATTGTGAGATATAACATGCTATGTTTCCTTAATTCACCCTAGGCGACCTAGAGTTCCGATGGCTTCGAGACATACAGAGACTATATAAGTAGCTTCGTAGAGCGTAATGACAAATGAATGTTTGCCTCATTGACAATTCACCCATAAATGTAATCTAGTGGAGGTCTAGTTTGTCTTTAATGCCACATTAGCAATGACCCACTGGCATGCGAAATTGTGCAGCCACGATACATTCAAAGCTATTTCGACTTCTGTTAAGGTGCTGACGAGACCCAGACAAGAGCAACCCTGCAGTCTGGCCGAGATAATAAGGTATCTAAGAGGACAAAGCTATATTAAATATATTAGCAAAATAAGCCTACTCATAGCGTTATTTGGAAAATTGTTTTAAACGTAAATGAATTAGATTAGAAGACGCAGGATGATTATTACTGGCGTATCCTTCATTTCGTTTGGGAAGGTGGGTAGAAGGGATTCGTAGATTGACTTCATCGGATACCGAAGGAGGGTTGCCTTGGACTTTTGTCTGTCGGATTGTGCAAAGAAGACCTCGGCTCACCGTCATACGACCTGATGACTCCATGTTAAGCTTTCGTCCGTCATGTGACGAACATCGTCGAAGCCAGAAACCATTATTCGTGGAAAAACTCGTCAAAAAGACTAAACTGAGATCATACTTACATCTTATACCTCAATTTGCGATGATAACGAGGCAGTCCATGATTTGGTTGGCTGCTCTATGCTTGTCCTACATACATGTGGGAGGATGAAAGTGATGCAAGAAGGGGATCAAATGTGGTCACAACTTTAGAACATGTAAATAAACTAGAGTATGATCCTGTAGTCCTGGGTCTTGTTACAGTTTCATGGATGCGTATTTGTGTATGTATGCAACAACCACGAGTTGGTTGGCAATTGTATGTACAAAAACAGGCTCCAGCTTAGTCTAGTCTTCTCTGCTTACTCAGTGGCTCTTCCTCGATGAAGCTTTCCTCGATCATGCCTGCTTTTAGAGAAGCTTCAGACGTCCTCTGGGAATCGGGTTGTTATAGGGTTTTATGCTCATGTGGTAGTGTTTATGTGTGGGGAGACTTTTCGACCTATACATAAAAGGCTATCAGAACAAATAACCGTCTGCAAAGGTTTATGGATTCCGAAATCGTTTATGGCTGAACATATGGTCACTACAGGACACCAGATAGAGTG